TTGTGTCATCAGCAAACCTGCTGAGTAGGCACTCTGTTCCCTGAACAAAACTGGGCCCAGTATGGAACTCTAGGGGACACCACTAGTGACAGGTATCCAACTAGACTCTGTGCCACTGATCACACCTCTCTGGCATCTTCTGCTCACCCAGTTCTCAATCCATTTTACTGTCCACTTGTTCAATCCACACTTCTTAAGTTTTGTGATGAGGATTCTGTGGGACACAGTGTCAAAAGCCTTGCTGAAGTCAAGGTAGACAATGTCTACTGCTCTCCCTTCATCCATCCAGGCAGTTGTTCATTGTAGAAAACTATCAGGTTGGTCAAACACAACTTACCTTTTGTGAACCCATGCTGACTACTCCTGATCACCTTCTTGTCCTCCATGTGGGCAGAGATGGCCTCCAGTAGGAGGTGTTCCATTAGCTTTCCAGTGACTGAGGTGTGGCTGACTAGCTGGTAGTTCCTCAGATCCCCGTTCTTGCCCTTTTTGAAGATTGGGGTGACATTTGTCATCTTCCAGTCTTCAGACACCTCTCCTGATCCCCCTGACTTTTCACAGATGATTGAGAGTTGCCTGGCTATGATATCTGCCAGCTCTCTCAGCACCCATGGATACATCCCACTAGGGCCCATGGACTTGTGGATGTCCAGTTTATTTAGGTGTTCTCTGACACAATCCTCTTGGACCAAGGGAAAGTCTTTTCCCCCCACCATCATTTACCCTGACCTCTTGGGTCAGAGATCCCTGCAGGCTTATCTGTGAAGACTGATGCAAAGAAGGCATTCAATAACTGTCTTCTCTGTACCCTCTGTTTTCAGAGTCCCCTCTCCATTAACTAGCGGGCCCACATTATCCTTTCTTTTTTTTTTTTTCCTTTTGTCATTTGTGTATTTTAAAAAGCTGTTTTGTTATCCTTGATATCCTTGGCCAGATTCAATTCTAGCCTAGCCTTGACCTTTCTTTTCTCGTATCTACCTGCTCTGATCACTTCTCTATATTTGCTCCAAGTGGCCTGACCCCACTTCCATGTCCTATGCATTTCATTCATATGTTTCAGTAATCACAGGAGTTGTTGATTCATCCACAGTGGTCTCATGCATCCTTGGCAGAATATTTTTCAGGAGGAAGTGAGACTTAAATAACAACAACTTTCTTGGATACCTCTTCCCTGCAGGGTGTGCTCCCTTGGGACTCATCCAAAATCATCCCTAAATAGGTTAAAGTTAGCTGTCCTGAATTCCATAGTTGCAGTTTTAGTTGCTGTCCTTCTACCGCTTTGTTTGAATTCTACAGTCTCAGGATTGCTACAGCCAAGGCTGCCCCAACCTTCACATCATCAGCAAGTCCTTCCTTGTTGGTTAGAATAAGGTTAAGCAGCACACCATTTCTTCTGGGAACCTCCACTACCTGTGACACGAAATTATTTTCAATGCTTTCCAGGAACCTCCTGGACTGTTTGTGGTTTGCTGCATGGTTTTTCCAGCAGATGTCAGGGTAGTTGAAGTTCCCCACAAGAACCAGGGCCTGTGACTTGAAGACTACTTCTAGCTGCCTGTAGAAAGCCTCATCCACTTTCTCTTCTTGATCTGGTGCCCACAGTACACACCCACAACAATATCACCCTTACTGTTCCACGCTTTTATCTTGACCCATAAGCTCTCAATGTGCTCATCACCCTCATTAGGGCAGAGCTCAATACAAGTGCTGTGCCACCTAGAGGGCAAACTCCACCACTTCTCCTTCCTGGTCCATCTCTTCCAAACAAAGTGTAGCCCTTCAGGGCAGCATTCCAGTCATGCGAGCTATCCCACCATGTCTCTGTAATCATAACTTATCTGTACTTTCCCACAGTCTGGCAGGGACAAGCCTCATATTATCCCCCTCTCCCATCATATCTAGTTTAAAGCCCTACCAACGAGTCTTGTTAGCTCCTGGGCAAATACTCTCATTCCCTGATGCAAAAGGTGAGTCATGTCTGGTGGTGCATAGGCTGTATCAAAAAACCCCAGGGTTTCTTTGTACCAAGTGATTAATTCTAAGCAGAAGACAAGCCCCATGTGATTGAAATCTACTTCCCAAATACTGTAGAAGCTTAAAGACTCACTCTGCAGTTTGGGGAGATGTATGAGACACAAACATATGTAAGCTACAGCTTGCAGTATGAGCCAGGCCTTATATAGCTTCTGAAATTCCTTCACTAGATGTTTGATCCTGTATTTTGTGCAGGGTTGCATGCTTGAAGGTGGGGGAAAAAAAATCTAGGTGTCATGTCAAAACTGACAGCCACTTTCTGATATCATTTACTGTGACAGGTACTAAATAGCTGCTTAAGTTGGCATCTTTTAAAACCAGCTTTTTGGTACTTGTCACTTGTTTCTATAAGACTGAATGGAAAGCTGCAAGAGAGGTGCATTTTTACAACATCTGTGAAGAATTCATAGAGAGTTGGTCAGAATTAGTTTTAGTGTTCATTCATAAAGCCTGAAAACTAACCTTCACGGTACCTTTTCACTGTTTTTGAACTAGCTAAAATTCTTGGAAACAGAGTGCATTTAAGGTTGTTGAGAACTGATGTTTGCTTTATGCACAGTCTGTTCTTCCATCTGGATTTAAAAATGCCAACAAGATAATCTAATTGAGATCATAATCTTGTTTGTAGCTCTGACCTTGCATCACAGGAAATGCATCAGTCTTCAAGTGAGCCCTGGTACACAAAATATAGGTTTAGGTGAAGGAGACTTTTGATGCCTCAAATGTTATCTTAAAATTGGATAGGACAAATTAGGATTTTTAAGAGTTGCAGACTAAGGTGGAGAAGGAAATTCTAGAAATGCCTGGTACCAGAAGCAGATGTAAGAACCCTGGGGCATGCAGGAATGGAAAATGCAGATGCCAGCAGCGTGGTGCAGGGCCACTGTGCCCCGGGGTGCAGCTGGAAAAAGAGCTGCCTGGGTGAAGATACTTTCCCTGTACTTCAGCAAGTGGTTTTGCAGGAAGCGGGTGGGGTTTGGCTCAGTGGAGAAACTCTTCTACTACCCTGAAGATAAAGGGAGTCAGGGCTGTTGGAGTTCCTACAGTGTTTTTCCTGGCTGGGGCTTCACAGGGAAGGTGAGCCTGGAGCAGCTGCTGCTGCTTGTCCAGAATGCCTCATGTAAATGCTTAGAAATCATGGGGAAGACTGGGGAATGAGATGTTGGAAAATAGTGATGCAGAAAGGGGCCTGAGGGTCCTCGTTGATGGCAAGTTGAATATGAACCAACAGTGTGCCCTGGCAGCCAGGAGGGCCAACAGTGTCCTGGGGTGCATCAGGCAAGGCATTGCCAGCCAGTTAAGGGAGGTGATCGTCCTGCTCTGCCCTGCACTGATGCGGCCTCACCTTGAATATTGTGTGCAGTTCTGGGCACCACAATACAAAAAAAAAAAAAAAGATACAAAGCTATAAGAAAGTGTTGAAATGAGGGCAACAAAAATGGTGAAGGGCCTTGAGGGGAAGCCATATGAGGAGCAGCTGAGGTCACTTGGTCTGGTCAGCCTGAAGAAGAGGAGGCTGAGGGGAGATTTTATATACAGATCTTATATACAGCTTCCTCACAGGGGTAGTAGAGGGGCAGGCACTGATCTCTTCTCTCTGGCAACCAGTGACAGGACCTGAGGGAAAGGCCTGAAGTTGTATCAGGGTAGGTTTAGGTTGGATATTAGAAAAAGGTTCTTCACTCAGAAGGTGGTCAGACACTGGAACAGGCTCCCCAGGGAAATGGTCACAGCACCAAGCCTGACAGTTCAAGAAACATGTGGGGAATGCTCTCAGCCACATGGTGTGATTCTCAGGGATGTCCTGTGCAGGGCCAAGAGTTGGACTCAGTGATCCTTGTTGGTCCCTTCCAGCTCTGAATATTCTGTGAAATCCCTGGTAAACACCAGTCTGTGGGGGATCAGCTTCAGTCCATCTTTTTTTATGCTGTTCTTGTACAGTGCAGAGATATGCTGACTTCTCACTTTTTGTTCTATTACTGATTTGGCTAAGGTAGGGAAATTTCAGTGACTCTACAGCTGTTGTTTTGAAAGAGTTTTGTTATCTTTTCAGGGTTTTTTCTATTTACTATTGAATTTTTAGTCAGAGATTTTTTTTCTAGTAAGCGAAAAATTTATACTGGAGATACAGTTTCTCTACCAAGGTACAGATTGTGTTGCAGGAGCTTTGTTGGACATGAATTATTGTGGCAGAGACTGGTAATTTTAATGGCTGGTTTTCTCTTTTTTTTTTTTTTTGATGAATTTTATATTCACCATACCTTTTGGTCATACAAAGGCACTGCCAGGTAAAAGACACATTCATGAACTTATTTAACATGACCATGGTATCTACATACACATTAACTGATGGTACTCAACTGTTCTGCCTCTTAAGTTCAGCTAGTCATTGCCCACCATTCAAACTACTAATTATTCATTTATTTACCATATTTGGGCTAAAGTGAAACCTGCTGGTAAGGTATGTGCAGGTGCAGATCCCTCTGTCCATCACATGAATACACCAAAAGCTCTTGGCACAGGTATTAAGTTATGACTGGATTTATCAGGTAGAATTAAATTCAAGTCTCAGATTCTTACAATGAAGCTGGAATCTCATCTCAAATCAGTGATGTACCAGGCTCTGAGGGAGCTTTGAAAGCTGGTTGGTAGTTTGTACATGAGGGAAAGGTAGAAGGAAGTATTCCTTTACCAGTAATGTTTGTCTTATGGTTGTGGCTTCAGAGTGCATTGAAACTGAGAGCTCACATTGAAAACCGCTCAAACTGAGAAGTATGCATAGCTCTTGTACAATTGAAGGAAATTAAGGTGTAAAGGATAGTCTGAAAGACTCCAACTTGAGCATAAGTCTTCTGTGACCCTGCCATACATGTAGGACTTTGTTTGTTTTACAGGGCACATGGGTATATTTGTTTTGAAAGAGTCAGTTTTCTGAATGTAATTGTTGTTGGTTTTCTTTTCTTTAGGATCACATGATTCTTTCAGCTATTGGGTTGATGAACAATCTCCTGTGGGACCAGACCAAGCCACAGCCATCAAACGTTTGGCCAGAATTTCCTTGGTTAGAAAGATTATGAAGAAATGGTCGGTGACTCAAAATTTGACTTTCAAAGAGCAGTTGGAAGGTGGGATCCGCTACTTTGATCTTCGTGTATCTTCCAAACCTGGGGAAGTAGGACAAGAGATTTACTTCATACATGGCTTGTTTGGCATCAAAGTATGGGATGGGATGAAGGAGATAAATACCTTTCTTGAGCAGCACCCCAAGGAAGTAATCTTCTTGGATTTCAATCATTTCTATGCCATGGACGACAACCATCACCACTTCTTGATCAACAGGATCCACTCAGCATTTGAAGCCAAACTTTGTTCTGTTGAATGTGTAGAATATGTGACATTACAGTATATGTGGGAGAAGAAACACCAGGTAGGGAAA